TGCTGACAGACCGGCCCCCTCCCGTGATCCGCCAGGGCCCGTCTAACCAGAGCGTGCCCCGGGACAGTGTGGCCCTGCTGCGGTGCCAGGCGTCCGGAGAGCCCGTCCCCTCCGTGAGCTGGCTCAAGGACGGGCTCAGTCTGCTGGGCAAAGACCCCCGCATGTCCCTGCAGGAGCTGGGCAGTCTGCAGATCAAGAACGTCAAGGTAACTGCACCTTTTTAAAATCTGGATTACAATATTTTAAATAAAGAAACCATGTACTTTTCACTGCAAGTAGCATCAGAAACGAGCTGGACTGATACTAACAGAAGCAGTAGTCAAGTAGAAGTAGAGTAGTCAAAAGTAGAAGTACAAAGTAGTGGCCCAGGAAATGACTCAACTAAGATAAATGTTTGGGAAAATTACTCGTCACATAAGAGTAACTTAAAGAGGAACTGTGAGGACATAACATCTGATTTATAATTAGAAATAAATGTATTGGACAAATAATGCACAATGCTGCTTTAAAGGTTTCAAGTTTTAAATAAAAAGGACCATAATTTAGGATGACAAGACGTCCCTGTTTATCCGGGACAGTCCCAGTTTTGAGCCTGTGTCCCCTGTCCCAGCAGTTTTATACCAAACCAGTGATTTGTCCCAGTTTTATACAAGAAATGTCTCAGGTGTCTCTATAGTCTCTATTCACACTTACGTCACAAACCAGGAAGACGTTTGGAAACAAGCGATGACGACTTCCTTTGGGCTGCGTTCGCGGTAGTAAGTCTGACAAAATCTAGGAAAAATGAGAAAATGTCCCAGTTTTCTTCATCTCCGTGTCATTGTAGTGTTCCGTTATGTTCGGCTAATCCACAATTCCAACCACACCTCAGTTTTTGTCATTTCCCCACTGACACACAACTCTGAGTGCACTGGTACATGTGATTAGAAGAAATGAGGGGACAAATTCCAGATGATTCCAAACAGCACATCCGTCTGCATCACATTTACTTCAGTGGGTTTGATCCAAGCCCCCAGGTTCCAAAATGGCCGTCCATTCAAGTCAATGGGCTGAGCTCAATGGCGCATGATCCCAGCTTAGCCTAGCATGGCTAGGTACTTCCGGTGGCCGTGGGCCGACCGAGCATGCGCAGTAGTGCTCTTTTCTCCCACGGGCACACGCGAATGCATGCGACCACACGCACGGAGCGCGGGATCGTGTATCACGTGATCGCTTTGACGATTATAAGCGTTTTTTTAAGACAACTCAAGGATTTTGAGCGAGAAAAAGTTTATGATCTAAAAATAGGTAAAAATCGCCAACAAATCCGATAATTTTGAAAGCTGTAGGTGACCTGTCAGACGAACACGAGCAGTTTGTGATTATATTGCGCTCTATGATAAAAATCTTGTCTCGGCCCACGGGACTTTTTCTGCTGAAGTTCCAGTGAGTGACACTACGTCAACTGGAGGCAGCTACAAGCAGCAAATACTGTATCCAGTTATTTTAATAGATCCATGGTTTGATCACAGTCGGTCGAGTCCAGAGTCAGGAACTACACTGGAAGTTGTCATCGCATGTTTCCAAATGTCTTCCTGGTTTGTGACGACATAAGCGTAAATAGTGACTATTTTGACATTTCTGATCCCACCAACAGTAAAGAGAGACTTTATACTGTCATGTGTTTCGACAAAATATAGAAATGTGCTTGAAAATGTGCAGAACACAAAGAACATGTATCAGCTGCACTATAATAATAATTTTTAATTACATAACCATAACTAATTCTTCATCATAAACATAAGTGCGCCTGTTATTCTAGTGGAGATGTGTGCACTTTAAAAAGACCACCTCATGACATCATCAGGTGGCAGGAGGATTTTCAGCTCTTGAAAAGGACATGAAATAATGTCATGATTACTGTATTTTCTGGAGTATAAGTCGCACCAGCCAAAAAATGCATAAGTGAAGAAGAAAAAAACATATGTAAGTTGCACATTTGGGGGGAAATTTATTTTATAAAATCAGAGACCAGGAACCGACATTTCCTGTGTAAAATCAAGAGGAGGCGCACCAAACATGTGTCTGTGTGCGTCTCGTGTGTGATGAATGTGTGTTTGGGCACATACATGAGCGACCACTGCTGATAGATGCTCGGCTTTATTGTGTTGTTACTAAAGACAATACAGCAGCGTGTAGTGGCTTCGATGACAAAAGCAATGTGTCTGCTGGGAAACTGGTTATCCACGGGGTTTAACAAAACAAAATATATACTTAAATTGGATAAAAAGTGCTCAAAATGGCCCCTTAAGTCAAGAAACCAATTACCGTATTTTTCAGATTATAAATCGCACTGAACTATAAGTCGCACTTTTTGGGGGAAATTTGGTTTATAAAATCAGAGACCAGGAACCAACATTTCCTGTTGAAAGTCAAGTTGTAGTAAAAACAATAGAAGAGAGAACAACAGACTGTTAACGTCACATATGAACAGTTCTTCAGATAAACTATAACATAAACAACAGAACAGAACAAGTTTAACCAAACTCTCCATCTCACTCCAAATCACTAAATCACTTCAATTCTTCATCCTCGGTGTCACTTCTGAACAACTCGCCTCGACCTCCGGAGGTAAACAGAGCGACGCTTCCTCTTCTGTGTCGCTGTCGTCAGACTCAGCATCAGTTCCAGTTAGAATTATTCGGGTCTTTCTGAATCCCGACAGGATGGTTTCAGTGTCACTGAAGTCCAGACTTTGTCCATCCATCCAGTGACTTCAGGAAAGTTTCATGGTGCATCCTCCCAGTGTCACAAGTTTCTCTCTCACTCCAAACTTTCTTTCTGCTGCTCGATTATCGTTTTCAGCTGCAGATTTCATGACTTGCAGCTTGTAATCTACAAAATCGGAATTTGTTTTTGGGGCATTTGTGTTCAGTCTTCTCAGTCGTCTTTATAAGTTTGTTTAAATGTTAAAGAGTTGAGTGGTGCAGAAGTAATGGTGCGATCGACTGACATGATACAGACAGAACAGAGGCTCTTTCTGCAGGAGACATGTGCAGTAGAGTGAAGTGACAGTGGTGCAGGAGGAACAGGAGCAGCAGATCCTCACACACAAGACTAGAACCTCTCACCACTTTAATACAGAAGTCGCACCAGAGAATAAGTCACAGTCAGTGTTGGGGAGTAACAGATTACATGTACCGGAGTTACGAAATCAGAGTACAAATTATGAGTAACTGTATTCAGTTACAGTTACTGTTTCAGTGAGTGGTAATTGGATTACAGTTATTTTGTTGAAATAAATGGATTACACGGCGGCATTTTCCTGTTTTCCTTTTTTCGTGTTTTTTTCGTTTTGGGCTATACCCCCCTTTTTTTGGGGGGTAATTCCACTCATTGCCGGAAACTAAACCAGGTCTAAACTAGATCTAAACCAGCTTCTAAACCCAGCTCTAAAACAGGTCTAAACCAGGTCTAAAACCAGGTCTAAAACCAGGTCTAAATCCAGGTCTAAAACAGGTCTAAACCAGGTCTAAACCAGGTCTAAAACCAGGTCTAAACGGTCTAAACCAGGTCTAAAACCAGGTCTAAACCAGGTCTAAAACCAGGTCTAAAACCAGGTCTAAAACAGGTCTAAACCAGGTCTAAACCAGGTCTAAACTAGGTCTAAACTAGGTCTAAACCAGGACTAAACCAGGTCTAAAACCAGGTCTAAACCAGGTCTAAACCAGGTCTAAACCAGGTCTAAACTAGGTCTAAACCAGGACTAAACCAGGTAAACTCTAAACCAGGTCTAAACCAGGTCTAAAACCAGGTCTAAACCAGGTCTAAACCAAGACTAAAACAGGCCTAAAACAGGCCTAAACCAGGTCTAAACTAGATCTAAACCAGGTCTAAACCAGGACTAAAACAAGATTTAACAGGACTAAACCATGCTGCATGGACCGTGTTTCCTCCTCTTCTATCAATAATATTTTTAATATGTTTAAGTAAAGTCTGGGCTTTTTATTTTCTTTTAGCAGATAAAACATCTTATGTTAAGATCCTAGTCTTTGCTTCTCTACAGCAAATCAAGTAATCCAAAGTATTCAGATTACGTTACTCACTTTAACTTAATGGATTCCGTTACAAATTACCTTTTGGGATATGTAATCTGTAATCTGTAGGGGAATACATTTTAAAAGTAACCTTCCCAACACTGGTCACAGGAAACACTCAAACCATGAAAAAAAGTATGACTTATCCTCCAAAAAATACATTACTCAAATATGGAAGTGAAATTCTAACATGGTCAAGCATTACAGGAGCCCTTTACTTTAAACTTGTGTACGTGCGTTGCCAGATTGGGTGCAGTTTTGCGGGTGTAATGTTGTTGAGTGGAAGCGGGGGACACATGATGGAAGATGAATAGCTGCTATTGATTGTGAAATGGTTTTACAGTTTGAGTTAGCGTCACATTAGCGTAGCTCAGCCGGGCTCGCAGACGCACGTGGACGTTTAGACCTGATTCGATTTAGCCTCGCTCATCTGCCCTGTCCCCTCGCTCCGTCTCTCCATCAACCCCCAGAGGAATATCTGTTACTCCTGACAACACGGCCGACCGCTGACGTGATTCAATAAAGCTGATGAAAAGAGTGGGGGAAAAAAAACAAGAAAAGAAAATGTCGCTACTGAACCGGTTAATGGCTTCTTACATTAAACGTGCACGTGGAGGGTTTGCTACATGCTTGTCTCCATGGAGATGTTATCACTTTGTCTGAAATGTAATATTAAACTTTTCTATCTGGCATTTATACATTTTTTATTGTGACTAAAACAGTAAGAATGAAGATGAATTGTGTGCAGCGTCTCCTCTCCACAGATCTGACCTGTAACTTGATCTGTTGACAAGTTTCGTGAATGCAAACTCTCCACTAGAAAAGTTACACAGTGCACCTTTAATATGAACAGATACGAGTTCAAATGCAGTGAAGAAGGGAGTATTTTTAATAGTTTGTTTAGTTATTTGGATTTTTTATCATTTATTTTGCAGATTAAATTCTCACTTCATTCTTCAAAATATTAATAATGTTTTGGATTTTTTAACCAAGGTTTTCTCTCGGTGAGGTACAAAAAACTGCACTTTGGCCAAAAAAAATTCCAAAATAACATTGCTATAGTAGAAAAAAAGTTATAGTTGGCGAAAAAACAAAAAAAAAATACTTAACCTATCTAATAAGTTTCAGTTTAGTTGTTGTCCCCTCTCCATTTGCTCTCTGCACTAAGTCACTCCCCCTTCAGAGCGCTATCACAACATAATCACCATGTATCGCACTACTGAAACTACTGCACATCACATCAGGTTTGTGAAGTTGTAGTATATTATTTAGTATCATGTTTTTTTTTGTTTTTTTTAAAAATATATTTATGGAGAATTGTCATGTGGGAGCAGGGGGGATGTAGCATTGTGGGCGGAGCCTTGGACCAGAGTCTTTCACCGGTTTGGGTACCTGCAAATATTTGCTGAAATGGGCGTGTTTTAACATTCTGGAATTTTATGGGCGGGTATGCGGGTGAGTAGTATATACAAATATACAGTATATATATATATTAGACCAGACATGTTAAACTCAGGCCCGTGGGCCAAATTTGACCTGTGATATAATTATATTTGGCCCGCGAGATCATATCAAATATGTATTAGAGCTGCCCCACCGGCTACAGATCGACTATAGAGACAATATTTATTTAAAATTGTGTCATTATTTTATATTCTGCTTGTTCTGGATTCAGTGTTTAAGCAAAACTATTATTAAACATGTATTTTAATAAGAAAAGGTTTAGCATTACATAGCTTGAAAAAAGAGAAAACATGCAGATGTTGTTGAAATTTTTCAGTAAATATTGAGTTTGGCCCACGACTTAGTCCCAGTTTTTAATTTTGGCCTCTGTGAATTTGAGTTTGACGCCCTGTATTAGACTATCATGTTCAAATTGTGGTAATCACCAAAAAGGGGCGGCAGTAGCTCAGTTGGTAGAGCATTTGCCCACTGATCTGAAGGTTGGCGGTTTGATTCCAGCTCTCAACATAAACATCACAGGTTGAGTGGTCAGATCCACTGACCCACAGGTTGCTGGTGTGATTCCAGCTCCCACAGATGAATGCTGTTGTTGTGTCCTTGGGGAAGACACTTAACCCACCTTGCCCACAGTGTCCATGTGTGTGACCATTTAATCACAGTGTGTTCAGTCAACTGCAAGGGGCTACAATATTTAAATTAGAGCCTACGTCACTTAACAGCGATCGTGTCAGTTTTCGCCCAGCAGCTTTCATTGTTTGAGCAGCATCGACAAGACAGATGAGATAAAAGTTTAGTTTGGCGAGTGGTGATTTATCACTGGGCACGGGTGAGTAACGGGTTGAATATTAACGGGTCCAGGTGGATGTGGATTTACTTTGATATAATCAGGGGTTAGCGGGCGGGTGTGGTGCTTTACTACGCCGTACTGCAAGTCTCCAAATATGGACCCGTGCAGGACTCTGCCTTGGACAGAACCTTACAGCTCACCATAACGAGGGTTTGAATAGAGCCAAGTAGAGATCACTACATTACTCAAACACATCTAAAAGCTCATTATAACATGGTAACTGCAAAACAGTAAACAGTCAACTGGAACTAAAAAGAAACAAGTGTACACCTAAGAAAATGGCTAAAAACTCCCCAAATTATGCTAATCAAGATGAATATTCTCCACGAGCCGTTACCCCTGATGACACGGCCGACCGCTGACATGATTCAATAAGGAGATGAAAAAAGTAGTCCCTCCGCCAGCAGCTGTCAGCGAGCCAGAGCGCGCCGAGGCCCACCTTAAATGAATTAGTCCTGCTCCGTGCTCCGCTCCTCTGTCTGACGGGCGACCGAAGAGAGAGTGGTGAGTTCTGAATGGACGAGATGATGGAATTAACATCAGCACTTTGAGACACACAAGCACACACACACACACACACACACACACACACACACACACACACACAGACACACACACACACAGACACAAACACACACAGACACACACTGATGACATAAGGTTTGGTTTGGGATGGACGGAGAGACAGGGACAGGACATCAGCACTTTAGAATGGAACTTAAAGTGATTGTGTTGGGAGATCAAGAGCAGGTCATTTTATTTTATTATTATTAATGAATTAAATTTGATGTAATCCATGATCTGATTTAGTTTGTCTCATTTTTGTGTCTGTCCTTTAAAATTACCAGAATTTGTGCATTATTTCATGTTTTGATCTTTGAATTACATTAACTACAAATCAGATGTTACCGTTTTCCCAAATATATTTTTTTACTTTAAATTAGATTTAATGTGATGTTACTCTTACTTGAGTACATTTTTGGATGCTGTACCACCTCTGATTGTAGTTTGGATGTTCTACCTCAAGTCCAGTCCTCCAGTTAGGTTCCACTTTTGTTGGAGCTTGGTCACTCAGCGCTCGTGGTTGTGTCAGTTTTATTGTTTGACGGGGTTTATAATGCAGAGAACATGTCTGAACCTTCTCCAACCACTGTGACCTGACCTCCTCTGTGTTTGTGTGTGTGTGTTCTTCTCCCTCACAGGTCTCTGACTCTGGCATCTACACCTGCGTGGCCACCAGCTCCAGTGGAGAGACATCCTGGAGCGCCTTCCTGGAGGTCAAAGGTAAGAACATGAATGTGGGTTATCATGGGTCAGTCTGAAAAGGATTCTGAAAGGATGAGACGGTGTAATCCTTCATTTGGCTAAGAGTGGTTCAGTGTTACATTGGTGGTCTCCTGGACGGTATGTTCACTGATGGAACTGGGAGGAGTTTTGCACTGAAACTCCTGCCCCAGCTTACAGTACACTTACAGGAGGAAAAGTCACTGCACTGTTATTGACAGACACTGAAAAGACAGAACAGCAGGAGTTTAGGAGGTCGAGATCTCCATTACATCTCCTTCTGTGATCTAAAGTTTGGTAGTTCAGATTCCGCTCCTGGCATAATAAAACATTATTGGTAGAGCGGTCAGATCCTCTCAATCTTTTTGTTTTGTCCATGGGCAAGACTGACTCCTTAATGTCCGGGGCTTTGACTGAACTGAAGGTTTAAAAGAGTTCCATAAGTTTGTCTATGCATCGTTTTGACCGTTTCCTTCATGTGTGTGTGTGTGTCCCTCAGAGTCTGCCGGGGCCGTGGTGGTGAAGGGCCCGGAGGAGCCGGACCTGCCCGGACCCCCGTCCAAACCTCAGGTCACTGATGTCACCAAGAACAGTGTGTCCCTGTCCTGGCAGGCAGGGACCTCCACCGCTGCACCTGTCATCTCCTACGTCATCGAGGCTTTCAGGTACAAATACAAACTTCTGGGCAACTTTGCAGCATGATAATAGTTAAATAATAATGAGAGCAAAATACTGAGCTCCTGTATCCACGTGACTAAATATGATAGTGTTGCCTTTTTCAATACTTTATCTTAAAACCACTCAGATTAAACACAGTTATCCTAACCTAACACAGGTGAGAGTATAAAGTATAATAGATATACAGTAGATCACGTAGATTTCACCATAATTCTGTGATATCTGGACATCTGGTTTACTTTTTATCTTCCTATATCATCAAAGAAGGTCCTTGGAGATGTTTGTGGGAAAAAACAAAACAAAACAAAAAAAACTTGTATTATAAAGCCCAGTACCTTTAACGTTTACTGATACTGACAGTTTAAATGAGGTGAAACTGATAAAAAACAAATGTGCAGATGAAGTAGCCTAGTAGCAGCTAAATCACTCATGTCAGTGTAATAAACACTGATAAACGATGGTTTATCTTTAGTTTGTGATTTTATTTTTCCACCATCAACATTTCTACACAAAAAGAGGAACAAGACCAGTGTAAAATCTGCAGTGTGTTCATCTGAGGTGTTTCTTCACTGTGCATGTTGTGCTGTGCTGTTGCAGTCAGTCGGTGAGTAACAGTTGGCAGACCGTAGCAGAGCACGTGAAGACCCCTCACTTCACCGTGAAGGGGCTGCGTCCAAACACCATCTACCTGTTCATGGTGCGAGCAGTCAGCAGCCAGGGCGTGAGCGACCCCAGCCCCATGTCCGAGCCCGTCAGGACGCAAGGTAACAACTACTGAAAAACACACTCTACATCTTTGTCTGTGTCTCATTATGACACATTTTTAACATCTGTGCTGTTTAAATGTGATTGTAAAACCTCACTCTAACCTCTGACTGTATTTCATTGACAGAGTTGGTACGATTATTTGAAATGTTCATATTAAGAATTGTTGAATTGGACAGTTAAAATGGGCACTGCTCATACTGAAGTGTTTTTTTGGTTTAGTCCAAAACTGCATCTGTAAGGGACAGATTTTATTTTATTTTTTACAGTAACCCACAACAACCAGTTCAAACAAGCAGAAGAGATGATGTAATAAGCCATATATTAGTTTAGTCACTGTGAAGCATCTCTATATCTGAGACACGTTCTACAAATAAGTGACTGTGTTTGGATCGGCCCAAAACTCTGGATCCCTGTAGTGAACAGATTAATGCTGATGTTGTGTCTTGTGTGTGTGTGTGTGTGTGTTGCAGACATCAGCCCTCCATCTCAGGGTGTAGACCACAGGCACGTGCAGAAGGAGCTGGGCGAGGTCCTGGTGAAGCTCCATAACCCTGTGGTCCTCAGCCCCACCTCCATCCAGGCCACGTGGACGGTAAGTCTCTGTCAATACTTTTACATCCAGAGAAATCCCAGTGCGTTAAACGACTGAATTCAGCTCGTCTTTGCCCCTACACCTGTCAGACCTGTCACCGTCTAAAGCAGCTCAAATAGGTGTGAATCATAAACTGTACATGGACATAGCTAAACTGCCAGCCACCATGTTCTAGAGCGTTCTTTAACTCTAGTGCTACAATCTGACACAAACATCTCTCCTGTTAAGGTTAATGTGTATTGTGCTCTGTCCCTGTCTCATAAATAAACTAAATAATAATAACAACAGGAAGTGAACATTGGCGCGCTTCCAACTTCAACGACTTCAGTGACTGTGACAACAAATTCGTCGCCCCTCTCTGTGTAACTACTGCTGTGATACTCGTTATTTTGGTCTTAAAATGTTTTTATTAACCTGCTCTACATGATCCTGGTGTTTTTATTTCACTATTTTGTCTGTAAATAAATTCCTATTCCTAATATGGAACTCGGCTCAGAATTCACCCCTATGACTGCTGGCCTCATGAGCTTTATTTGACTGGAGCTGAACACTATGAGTGATGTCACACTTTGTCCACTTTTATATACAGAGGTGTGAATGGGGGCTATGAAATGTTCTGGTACATCGAGTAATTTAGCATTATCTTTTAAACTTGGCAGCCATAATTGCTCATAAGAAACACTTAGATAATATCGTCCAAAATCAGAAGCTTGTTTAGTTAGACGTTTAGAACAGGGGTCTCCAACTTGTACCTCAGGAGCTACCGGTAGCTCTCCACCTGCTATAATGTAGCTCGTTAAGGAATTTCTGAATTACTTGTATTGTGCTGAATAAGTAAAATTTGATGAATCAAATGCTTTTACTGTTGTACATGTGTCATATTGATGCCAGACTTTGTACACTAATAAATCGATAATGGATTATGTTTTATAGGCATCTAACTGTACTTCATCGAAGGCTTACCGTGGCTCTTATACTGTATATGCTCAATTTTTTCTTACTACTAAAACTAGTAGCTCTTTGGCATTTTCTTTTTGTAAAAGTAGCCCCCCGGAGGAAAAAGGTTGGAGACTCCTGATTTAGAAGCTGAGACGATCCTGGTGATGTGGGACTTGCGACTCTTGTTTTCAGTGTTAAAAGTGTTTCTTCAACCTCCACTCAACCTCACACACTTTTAATAGTTCTAATCAAAACCTACCCACTCAAAGAAGGACCAAAAAGTAAATTATACTGTCTCTAAATTAAGACAATTGGTGGGTTTCAGATGACATCACAACATATCACAACATTCTATAGATTAGTGTTATTTCATACAGACGGGGGCAGATTTTTGTTGCCGTACACTGAGTTCATTGTGTCGAGAAACTCCTAGAAGTGTTCAGGTTCAACATTTGTGAAATTTCCTTTTGGATTTTTCATGGTAAAGTACAATGTGATCAGTAGGAAAAACTGTTCTTGCCCTTCATCTGGTAGTATGAAATCATCACATTCTAGAATCTGAAACCACCAATATTAAAACTGTACTGGACCTGACAGACCACTAGAAATAGAAATAAAAACCAGTTTGAGAAACACTGATATCATTAGCGATGGGCGACTGGAGCCTCGTGAAGCATTGACACCTCAGTCGCAATATTGTCTCAAATGGTTGGACGTGTCTGAGGCTTCGGAGAAACACTGACCTCTAGTGGACAAATTTAACCATCGGCACGATGCAGGTGTCTCAGCATCGATGAAGTATTGTTAGTGTTAGTATAGTTGTGTGCAGAGCAACACCGTAACAACAACAACAATAATAATGATGATTTAAAATAATATGTAAAGAGCAACATAAATAACATGTTGTAAATAAGAAAATAGGTGTTTCCTTGTTAGGTGGAATTAGATCAAAGTGATGCCAAACCATGGATCACTTTTTTCCACTTGTAGATGCCATCGAAAATTAAACAAATGCCAGAAGTCGTCAAAATCACCACTAACCTCACACAATACTCCTCACTACCCAACACTTTTAAGAAATATTGGTGCATCTTTTATACTGTAGCAGTTTAGCGCTTGTCAAACCACAGAAGTGCGCTGAACACTCTGTTCACGCAGAGTGAATAGGAGGGACCGACACTTCGACGCTTTGGTCACGTACGTAACAAATGCACAAACCTGAATTTCCATGTGCAGTAGTTTGCGTTACTGCGCTCTGACGGGGGAGCGACTTAGCATGAGAGCAAAGGGAGTGGGGCGCATCAAAAATGAAAATTAAACTTATAACACACGTGAATATAACATTTTCAAAACGACAAACGGTGATTAAACCCCATAGAAGTAAAACGCCACCGCTTTAATTTCTCCAATCTCGCTTTTGTTTATCGCTCGTAATAAAAAATAATTCATCATTTTTGTCAGATTTTATAATGCCATCCATAACTGTTATTTATTGTCGTCCGTATATTTTCATAACACAACACACGCACTATGCAAATGATTCTCCTGACTGCATTAATATAACATGTTCACATACATCGTGGTCGTTTGAATCGCGGCCACGTTCACACAAACATATTTGCCAAACACAAAATGGTGCATATATTTTCGGCGTATTTTCATGTAAATCCCGTCGGGGCATATGTGTATTTAAAGTATCACGTGTAATTCGCTGACAGAGGCTAATGCTGCGTTCTGACCAATCACACGCGAGCATCACGCCGGCGTGTTTACCGACCCGGCGACCTGCCTAATGTGTCGCTTTATGACTCAAACGTCCAATCACGGCTCAGCGGAATGAAGGAGGAGACTTTAATGAACGAGAGGAGAGGAGGAGGAGTTGAAGAAGAGGGGAAGAAGAGGAGAGAAGGTGGAGAGGAAGGAGAGGAGGAAGGGGAAAGGTGGATCAGAGGAGAGAGGAGGTGGCTGGAGAGTAGGATTGGAAGATGAGAAAGGTAGAGGAGGAGAGAAGGATGAACAGAGGGGAGGTGGAGGAGAGGAGAGGAAAGGAAAGGAGAGAAGAAGAGGAGAGGAGGAAGAGAGAAGGAGAGGGGTAAGGGAAAAGAGAGATGGAGTCAAGGAAAAGAGGGGCAGGAGGAGAGGAGGAGGATGGGAGGATGAGGAACGTAGAGGAGGGTAGAGTAGGAGAGAAGGATGAGTGGATGGGGTAGGAGTGGAGGCGAGAGAAGAAGGACAGAAGGAGAAGTGGAGGAGGATGGGGAAGGAGAGAAGAAGGAAGGGAGGTGGAGGAGGATGAGGAACATAGAGGAGGGTAGAGTAGGAGAGAATGATGAGTGGAGGGGTAAGAGAGGTGGAGAGATGGATTAGACGAGTAGAAAGGAGAGAAGGGGGAGAGAAGAAGGACAAAAGGAGAAGGGGAGGAGGGCGGGGAAGGAGCGAAGGAGGTGAGGAGGGAGAAGAGGATGAGAAATGTAGATGAGGGTAAAGGAGGAGAGAAGGAAGAGTGGAGGGGTAGGAGAGGAGGGGAGATGGATTAGAGGAGTGGAAAGGAGAGAAGGAGAGAGAAGGAGAGAAGGAGAAGGGGAGGAAGGCAGAGGACCAGGAGAAGACTGGGACGAGATGGGTGAGAGATGGAGAAGAAGAGGAAGAGATGACTGAGAGATGGAGGAGAAGAGGGAGAAATGGGTGAGAGATGGAGAAGACAGGGACAGGATGGGTGAGAAGAGGGGGAGAAGAAGGAGAGATGGATTAGAAGAGGAAGAGAGGCGCAAGAGATGGGTGAGGGGTGGAGGAGAAGACAGGAATGAAATGGGTGAGAAGAGGAGGAGGAGAAGACAGGGAAGAGAGGGCTGAGAGATGGAGGACAAGAGGAAGAGATGGGTGAGCGATGGAGGAGAAGATTGGGACAGGATGGATGAGAAAAGGAGGAGAAGAGGGAGAGATGAGTGAGAGATGGAGGAGAAGACGGAAATGAGATGGCAGAGAAGAGGAGGAGAAGGAGAAGATGGGGACAAAATGGGTGAGAAGAGGAGAAGGAGGAGGAGACGGTGATGAGATGGGTGAGAGATGGAGGAGAAGATGGGGACAGGATGGATGAGAAAAGGAGGAGAAGACAGGAACGAGATGGAGAAGAGGTTTTAGGTTGAGCGTGAGGAAAGGACATTCATCTGTGTGAGTGACTCTTGTGTCCGGCTCGAGCGTGTGAGAAAACCTGAACAGTTTTAGTGTTAATCCTGTACTCAGCGCTGTGTTAACAAGCCATCAGCCTGATGGATGCTCCGCCGCCGCAACTGCCTCCACACACACACACACACACACACACACACACACACACACTCCATAAATAAAACCCAACTGGAATAAACATCAACTCCACTTTAATAACGAGAAAAGCAAGTCTAAGTATGAGCCGGCCAGAAATATGTCCACGCTAACTTATTATCCACACTCGTTTGGACGTCAGACTAGACCTGGAGGAATGATAATCTTAATAATCATAGACTGCATTTATAAATGGGCACAGCGAACCCGCTAGCCGCCGCCAAACAGGAAGTGAGTGTGGAAGCTGTACCATTGTGGTTACAACTTTTTTGCCTTTTGAAAAATAGTAGCTCCTCTCTGTGTAACTGCTGATGTCAGGCTCCTCATGCTGGTCTTCAAATGTCCATATTAACCCACTCTACATGATCCTGGGGTTTGTATTTTGCTATTTTTTTTCCATAAAGTAATATGTGAACATTAATAACAGAGCAGTCAGGTGTCATCATTCCCAGAGGTTGGTAACAGGTAGCGTTAGAAATAGGTTGGATTGACAGCTTTTTGTTAGGAAAAACAATCCTTCCTTGACCAGAAATGGAGGCTTCAGACATCATCTGTCTCCAACAACTCCACCCTCAAACCTAAAACAAAGACAACTACAGAAGTAGCCAGGTCAGGTCCAGAGGTGTGAAGCACTCATTATGGGCCTGAAAGAATCTATTAATATGTCCTCTCACTCAGTAAAGATGAATAGGCCGAGCTACAAACAAACAGAAACTGTAAACAAGTAGGTGTGTTAGTTTCAGAGGAGTTTCAGTGTAGTTAGCTCCTCCTGCAGGCAGATATAAGAAAGAAGAAACATCTTGGATGAGCGTTCGTTTGTCCAGTTGACAAATTGAATTTCTCCTTTCCTGTGGGTTCTACCTGGACAACTGAGGAATTCTCCACACATCATGACAGCTATAGAGTTGTTAGAATTTCTAGCTTTGAAGAAGTTGCCGATACGATAAATAACTCCATACACAGGCCATGATATGATACATTTTGCTATACAGTGTACTTTTGATTCAATATGATTCGATACGATATATTTCAAAGTCAGTTCGCTGCAGTTCATTGAAAAACAAGGGCTAAATCATGGTTGTGATACTAAAAGTCTGCTAAGTCTGCAAAGTCACTAAGTTTGTGAAAAGTTAAGTTAAGTTAACACTTATTTTACTCATCAAAAACTGTGAAAATGTCAACTGTAGCTGTTATACAAAATAATTTAGTGAAATATACCTAAAAATACTCTTGGCGATATATCAATACAGCAGCCCCGATATCGATACATCAAATGTATCATCAAATTAAACCTTATGATATATATCAAGATTTCAATATTTTTGCACACCCCATTTAACAAGGGGCGTTACCTTCAACAGCCCCACTCCTGATTGGCTCATTGGTTGCTATGCTAAACACATTCGAAATTTCAAATCTGCTAGCCTTGATGAGCTTCATTTAGCTGGATGCAGGATGTTTTGTTGTCTGCAGTAATCAGTTGATAATTGACAGTTCTCCTTTGGGTTAGTCCTTGTTTAGACCCAGTATCACAGTTGTGTAGACGTGTTTTAGACCAGGTTTATTCCCACAGATCAGTCCTGTTCTAGACCTGGTTTAGATCTGGTGTTACTCAAAGGTTCGAACATTTCCTCAGGTGATAATATAAATGTTTGAGACCCACTGGTGTAGCCCGTTTCCTGTTCCCCGTGTCACTTTTGCAGCTTGACGTCCGTCTCGTGTCCCACCTCCTTGTGCGTGTCAGGGCTTCATATTGATGATGCATCAGGGACGCAGGCGGTGCCCTTAAAGAAACCATTACGGGAGAGCTTGAGTGCTTAAGTGTGCCTGGGCTCGGGGTTAGCACCGTGAGCTAATGCAGCGGCCTCATTGAGCTAAGTGTGTCTAAGCAAGTGATAAAACACACATTAAACTCACTACTGCCCCCCACAGAGTCATCAGGGTATATTACTCTGTGAGGAGTGGCAGTGAGGGTGGTGGGGGGGTTAGTTTGATGGACAACAATGAAAGCACTCCTGGGTCCAACATTTAAGAAACAGATTCAAACTGTGCAGAAGTATACACAAAACACACTTTTTTATGAATGCCCTACTTGCTTTTTAAATTTTTACTGCTCTGAAACCATGCTGACATCTACTGTGAGCGGGCTTGCATCTCCACAAACTTGACTTTTGAAGTTAAAATATAAAATCCCTACCACTACTACTACTACTACTACTACTACATTTTGACTCCTACCGTATTTTCCGGGCTATTAGACGCTCTGGATTATAAGACACACGGTTAAATGGTCTATTTTCGAACTTTTTTTTCACAAATAAACCACACTGGACTTTAAAGGAAACCCAACAGTGTGATGGGTGAGTGGTTTGGTTTGTTTGTTCGTTCACGGTGACTCTGGGCTTTGTTCAGTTGTGGCGTGTAGGGAGGGTGCTGTCTGGGACCAACGGATTGTCGGCGTGTTCGCAGTGACTCAGTTGTTCAGTCGTGTCTAGAAGTGGCACATTGCACTCGCTTTTTCGGTTCGTTCCTCCATTCTGTTCCTCGTCGGCGTGTGTCTGTGATGAGTGTGTCTGTGGGTGTTTTTCGCTGTGTGGTCGCTGTCTGCTCCGTGTGTGTTTGTGTGTTCTGCGAGTGGTGCAGCTTTGTAGTTTACTCAAGTTGTGCTGAGACATCCAAGTGGATTTGTGTATAGGGCACTCTGGATTGTGGGGCACGCGGTCGTTTTTTGAGGGAGTTGGAGGCTTAAGAGCGTGACTAATAGCCCGAAAAATACGGTACTTAATTTTGAAGTGTAACTACTCTGCTGTATTAAGGGCGATTCAGGCTTTGACGTGCTGGACGTCTCTAGCTGGAAGCTTTTGCATTTAAGTTTAGACACCCCAGATCCTACATCTTGGACGACCTGGACGAATGGGAGTAAATCCTTGATGCGCGTCCAGGGCGTTCATTACTCTGGAAACAAGTGCCATTTCCCGTCTTTTCCCAAATCTATGGCAAACCAAGCTGAGAGAGACTTTAGTGTATTTATTACATAAAACCATCAGTGGAGGAGATCGGCTCGGCAGCTGCGGCATGTATATGTTTATAATCCACTAATGACACTGGTTTAGTCTTGGTTTTGACCTGGTCCAGACCTGGTCCAGTCCTGGTGTAGTCCTGGTTATTATTAGTTTGTACGATCATAAACGATAAACTTTTGTGACTTCATTAACATTATTATTAGACTAAACACTGGTTTAGTCTTGGTTTTGACCTGGTCCAGTCCTGGTGTAGTCCTGGTGTAGTCCTGGTGTAGTCCAGGTTTAGTCCTGATCTAGTCCTGGTCCAGTCCTGGTCCAGTCCTGGTGTAGTCCTGGTGTAGTCCAGATTTAGTCCTGATCTAGTCCTGGTCCAGTCCTGGTGTAGTCCTGGTGTAGTCCTGGTTTTAGTCCTGATCTAGTCCTGGTCCAGTCCTGGTGTAGTCCTGGTGTAGTCCTGGTTTAGTCCTGATCTAGTCCCGGTCCAGTCCTGGTGTAGTCCGGGCGATCGGCTCAGTGGTGTGTATATATTTCAACTCCGCTAATGACACAGCATAGAATTTCTTGTTCTGGTGTTTGTGGCTCCCTGCCCCAGTTTCCGGGTCTCTCTCTTTCTTCTTCTTCTTCCGGACAGTAACATCACTACGTCACTGGATAGTCGTCCCTGATCCGTTGACGAGGCGCGTCTGATGCCAAAAGTTCAGAATGTTCAACTTCTAATGCCAACGTGTCCAGAGCGTTGATGCCTGAACACTCAAAAACGCAGAATGCCCGAGATGCACATCCACATTTGGTGTCCACTTTACAAGTAAACTGGACATTTTAATGCTCCAGTCTGAAAGGACCTTTAGACTTTTTAGACTTCTTGACTTTTCCTTTATTTGAATGCATTGAAATTCTTATGATTTTGATGAAATTGTTACTTTTAAGCAAGATCTTTGACAGTTTTCCTATAAGATAGATATGCTTATACCAGCAGTTCTCAAGCAACTGTTGTCAGACCATAAACCAGAAGAGTTCTATAATGCACCTGTAATAGCATCAGTGTTGGTGTTAGTGCGGGGGTCTAGATCTACTAACACAAAGCAGGAGGTTCTGAACTACATTTGGCAAGATATAAAATCTTAACCAAGCTAGAAACTTGTCTTCCCTCTCTGAACCTGTTCTCTCTCTGTATCTCCTCTGGTCAGGTGGACCGTCAGTCTCAGTTCATCCAGGGGTACCGGGTGCTGTACCGGCAGGCGTCGGGGCTGCCCGCTCCGGGGCCCTGGCAGACTGTGGAGGTGAAGGTGTCCTCTGAGCGCAGCGTGGTGCTCACTGGGCTCAAGAAGGGCATCGCCTACGAGATCAAGGCCCGGCCGTACTTCAACGAGTTCCAGGGCATGGACAGTGAACCCCGGACGGCACGCACCACAGAGGAGGGTAAGGACCAAATACTACGACTACTTTAAATACTGCTACTACAACTACTGCGACTACAAATATTACTTCTGCTGCTACTGCTGCTATTACTACAAGTACTGGTAATACAACGATTACCCACTGTTACTACTGCTGGTTCTGCAAAGATGGTTGGATTTCTAGTTAATCTTATGAAGGTTAATGTGCATACGACAGGTTTTCATGTTTTTCTAATTCTGACTTGGTTTGGTGGAGAGTACCTGTGGTCAATATTTATCATAGTTTTACATCATTTATATCAAGAAAAGTTGAAAAATACTTAACACCTAGTTCTAAAAAAAGGAATATCTACATCATTCAAAATTCCTTTAAAATTCAGAGACAATTTTGTGTACAAGGAGTTCAAACATCCATTTAAGAAAAACAGTGTTATATTTACCACTGTGTAAATTAGTCAAGGCAATTCTTTTTTAAATTGACAATGAGTTCTGAAATGGAGAATGTTTCAGGGAGTCATTTGGACTGGATTGAGATTCTAGGTTTTTATACTGCGCTATTACCCAATGTTTTTGTCTGATGTACTGAGCCAGCTTTTCAGTTCTGATACTAATACTTAGTTAACCAGTACAAGTGTAGGGATGGAAAATAGTGCTTGTTGTGATGCTGTCAAGTCTTTACGCAAGAGATCCACTTGTGTTGTTTATCCTTCAACACACGACTGACCAGCTTTGTATGAGAAAAGTTCAAATGTTCTGAGACACTGTTGTCCAGCCAGTAAACAGTCTTATTACATCTAAAAGACCTTTTTTCACAGCAGCCGGAAGTGCACCGCTGTAGGTTTGTGGAACTTCCAGTTAATGGTTTTCTTTGGCAAAATGTGTGTGGAAATGTCTACGAAGAATTTATCTACAACTGTCAAGGTAAGAAAGATGAAAGCTTAAAGGAGAACAACCACGACACATTAGTGACACACTGAACAAAACTAATGTTATGATCCTAGAGATGTCTCACATCTGAACTGCACACATCTCTATCTATGCAAATATCCACCTCATGAAATTGATTTGATTTTAATTGTAGAATTAGTGTGAGTGAACAAGGGGAAGATGGCCAAAGTGGTCAAAGTAGGAGGCAGATGACACACACACACACACACACACAAAAAAAGGTATGTTTATGCAGAGAACATTTTTATTTTAAAAACAGACTTCTGGAATTCACCAACAAAAGTACAAATAGACAAAAAACTCAAATCAACAAACACCAAACAACCTGCACAGAAGTCTCTCCCTAATTGATGACACCCACTTTGCTTTTATACCCCCCAGCAGGAAATACTTCCCCCCAGGTGAGTATCCTGGTAACTCCCAAAGCAAAAAAGTCCCCTTTCGAAATAAAAATGTTTAACATAAACTAAAGTGAATTTAAAATGAGACAAAGGCCCACTTTGTCACAAAGTTCCTTCTGTTTTATTCATGACCATAACATTAGTTTAGTTGAGTGTGTCACTAATGTGTGTTCATTGTTTCCTCTAAGCGTTTGTCTTTCTTCTCTTGATAGTTGTGGATAAATTCTTCATGAAGAATGTTTATTCTTTGTGGAGCTTGTTGGTTAAAGATTTGGTGATGGGGCAGATTTATGAAGATGGTGAGGAAACATTTTCACATATTGCCATAGAAAACCATTATCCCTCTCAGGCTCAAATTCATTTTTAGTGTCAGAAAAAATCTGATATTTGGGGAAAATTATCATATGGGGTAGTAATATACAATCCTGACTTTTTTATCCTTTGTGAACCAAAAAAGTATTTTGCACTTCTGGCAGGCCGTTTGCGTGTAGCCGTTCTTGCACAGTCTGCATCGCCCACGTTTATCAGCATGGATGGGAAAAACGGCTCCTGAGTAAAAAAAGCTCCTAAAATATGGATGTGGAGTAAATAGGTAATTATCATTTAGCTGTTGCAAATCTGCAACGCCTGCCTGGAGAGGGGTAACCATAATTTCCACAAACTTACAGCGGGACACTTCCAGCCATTGTGAAAAAAAGGTCTTTTCGATTTAGCTTTTGTTTTTGTATCACCGCTGATATTTTATACCTTTATCTGTACATCCCTAGATACAATCTCCCTACCTGGGGTTGTTCTGTCCTGTTTTTCTCCGTTCTCTTGTGTAACATGATGGATAGAGTTTATATAGAGTGTAGGACTGCATGCACAAGTCCTCCTCAGAGCTGACCAGTGTCCAGTCTCACACGTGGACCTGCTGCTGGTGCTGTGAGACTGTCTGTGTGAGGTGTGAGGAGATGTGTGAAGGAGATCAGTCCAGACATGAGAGAGAGAGAGAGAGACTGTGTGTGTGTGTGTGTGTGTGTGTGCCTCCTCAAAACTACACTGTTCTACACTGCCAACTTTACAACACGATCTGATGAGAGGTGTCAAGTATTATATACACTTCGTCACCATAGCAACCGAGTTTCACATACAAAAGCACTTACAGTAAAAACAATACAGCACAAAAAAGAGTTAAAGAACCTTGGACTAAACACAAAATATCACATCATTAGAGTATATATGGAAAATTTTAAAAAAGTGTGGTGTAAACTTCGGTGTATGATGTGTGATTTTTCAGAGGTAGAGGCTGAGGAGGCTCACGGTTTTAGTGCTGCTTGGTTTGATCCAGTACAACTATCATGCAGTACTTTTACTCTAAATGTCTGTACACATTTATGGGGTTACGAATAGTCAAGAGAATTCCCTCATGGTTTTATCTGTGTGATCTAACTCTAAAAGTGATCTAAAAGTGATCTAAAAGTGGTCTAAAAGTGGTCTAAAAGTGGTCTAAAAGGCATACCCGTATACACCACAACAATGGGACTTCATCTAGATCTAAACCTGGACTAGACCAGAACCAAACCAAGTCTTCATCAGGACTTAACTGGGCTCAAACAGCACCAAAGCAAAAAGGATGCACCCTAAGATCCTGCGACTAAGGCCACTGCAGCCTGAAGTGACCTAAATTTGATTTTTTGGCCCCTATGTTCCTGTATCTGATCTTTTAATGACAGTCTGAACGACACAGATCTGATTTTTTGAAATGCGACTCAGGACACTTGCATATGTGCTCCTGAAACCGATACATATCTGATCTTTTGACATGCGACTTCAGTTTGAACGGTCAAAGTGCATTCATCCACCTACACGTTATCAACAAGCCACAAACGTCACTATTTTGCGCTGAAGTAGGTGAAAATTGTTAATGAACTCTGTGTCACTGAAGTGAAGCACATCACCACTCACCACTCTTGGCTCCGTCTCCACATCCACACGTTCCTTTCAACTGCCCCACAAAACGCCACAGCCAAAAACCTAATCCGTCTCCTTCTCAATCTCCTCCTTAAAACAAGTAAGTTGTTTATGTTCTGGCTCCGGTACGAGAGGAACTTTAAAATCTCCAGGTGCTCAATGCTGCGTCCATGTTTGGACAACTTCTGTAAACACAGAGCACGCTCGCTGAGGTTGACATCGTCGTGTCTCCAGTGCACTTTTGGGCCGTTTAATGTTCACACTGGAGATCACATACAAGTCGCGATCTCGCAAAAACATCGGCCCTGCAGTCTGAACGTAGCCTAATACTGTATATTGTGGTTAAAAAGAGCAAAAACAAAAGTATTGTTTGCGATTCACACTTGTAGGTGGCAGTCGCTTGTAACATTTGTCTGCTAACCCAAAGATACAGTATTTTCCACCCAAAGACGCTTGAAGTCTCGTGTGGTTTGAGAGAATAGTGCGGACAGAGTGGACAGCAGACCGTAGAGAAGTGTGTGGGCTCAGACACTTAAACATCACACATAGAGAGTGTGACAAAGCTACACTATGTATGTCCTGTTACTGACAGAGGAGAAGAGAGAAGAGAGGAAAGAGAGGGGAGAGGAAAAGAGGAGAGGAGGAGAGGGGAAGCGACAGGAGGAAAGGGGCAAGAAAGGAACAGAAGAAGAGAAGAGGAGTGGAGGGAGGATGAAGGGAGTGTCCAGACAAGACCGGACAGCAGTTCTCTCACTGTGATAACAAGACACGTTCTGGAGAAACAAACTTTCATATCCAATTCTATATATTTTCAACACTTATATTCTAGTGAAAAGGGGAGCAGCCTGTTGACACCAAAGTACATCTGAAGTTCACTTTCTTCACTTAGACTTGACTTCTGAAAAGTGACGTCTGTCTTCATTCTGCGAACAAACTCCAAAGAGCATGACTGGATGTTCTAAATGTATATTTAAAGGAACAGTGTATATGATTTCATAAATGTGATGTAACCGTGTCCAAAATACAAGGGACTTAGAACGGTCACTCCATAAACCCCAGCACCTGCACCAGTCATGAGTCAGTGCTAGTGCAGCCTCTGCAGCTCAGGGAGGAAATTCTGGAGGTTCAGATCTTCACATAAAGTCTGTCCATAAACTGAGAAAGAGACAAACTTGGATGTGTCTCTATCTGCAGGTGAACCCTTCCAGCCTGACTGTATCATTTACGATACCTGGGAATATGTTTTATGTAACTGTGCATAACATTCCAACCATAAAATATAGATAATTACTTTTTTTCTTGCTGAGAGTTGCAGCTTTCTGAGGATATTTGCAGCTTTAGCCTACTTTACACACTGCTTAATGATGTAGAGAAAACAAGTGTCTTTGTTTTACCCCAAACTCATGTGCTCCATCCATTTTGATTGGACCAAAGTTTGCCAAAGAGTGTAGTGAGTCAAAATGGTCCATGCTCTGAGCGTCTGTGTTCAGAACAATTGAAAAAGCCGCTCTAAGTGCAGCTATTTCTCACATAAATGGCAAATTATGCATCTTGGTCTGTGTAATTGTGCATCCCTTGCTATTTTTATTTGAAAAGTTTAGGTTTAGGTTAGGTTTAGGTTTTTCAGTCTGAATTTATTTTCCTTTTTTGGTTGTTTGTTTGTTTGTTTTTTTCATTAGTATTTCTGGTCCTGTAGTTTTTATTACAGCCATTTGACACA